CTAGTATGTAGTAAGCTAATGAAATCGGCTGATTCCTCTGCACATATGTGATGTAATCCAAAATCCACTCGAGGATCCGCAAGTAGCACATGTCACCTCGCTAATGGGGGAAATTTTCTTACAGCTGGCACTTCATCATCAGATGACTTGCTAGCAAAAGTTGCCGCATCACAAAGGATTCTAGAACAAGACAAACCTTCAAAGTTCCTTGGTCAGCCATCTTCTGAATATCATTGCCTCCCCAAAACGCACCAGCCGGCACCAGAACACGGCGGTATTTCGCCGCTGCCATCAGTCGAATCGTCTCCAGAAGGTCCGCATCGGCAAGACATGTCGGCGAGCCAATCTGTATAGTTTGGGATTGGTTGTCATAAATGAATAAATAAATTGAATAAAATATTAAACAGTAAATATGAGGTCATTATCAAGGTGACAAAGCAATAAGTAAACAAAGCAATAAATAAACAGAATTAGCAATTAGCCACTACCACTTCAGTATGTTGATCGAGTGCATCGTGAGCTGAAGAAACTCTGCGACGAATTGCTTTGCAATGTAACTTCAAAAACGTCGCGCCATTTGTCGCTAGAACTCACCGCGCGCGGCGTGGGCGGTGAAACCTCACTGACCCACTATTACGATTCATTGCGTCTCATCCAGTAAAGGCTGGTAATCATGGTCATCTTAAAAGAGGATACGATGACCTATATGTAGTGTCTAATCTATATTAGACATTGTTCAGGCTTCGCGACGGCAGCGCGTTCGACGCGATCGATGCAGTCGAAAGCATGCGCATCGATCGCGTCGAACGCGCGACCGAAGCGCTGCCGTCGCGAAGTCTGAACGCTGCCTTACAGGCCCAAACGAGCAGGGCCAAGAGAACTGGGTTGTGACGACGAATGGATGTCGGAAATTGTCCGCGCACATCGGTGCCCCGTGACAAGGTTTTTTCGCGCCGCCAGGAGGGTGGTCATTCCTGGACCGGTGACCGGTTATTCGCTCGTCCCTTTTCTGTGTGTCTGATGTAATGGTAAATACAACATGAACAAAGAAAATGAACGCAAATAGACACCACTGATAACGGCAAATACACCATACTTACGAAAAGATCGCAATTTGCTAATATGACAGGAGCGTATTGACGAATGATGGCTGGATGAGCGACTTCAACGACCAAATCGATATCACTTAAGATGAGATCAGTCAGTAACGTCAAGGTGATTTGTAACTCCCATTGCTATTAGGTAGGATAGGTAGTGTTCTAAGTTGGGAGTGAAACCGCACACTCGTTCGTCTGGCTCTCTACTGCCAAACTTTCAGATGAAAGAATCACCCTCTCGAGTGGAGGGCGCAGACCAACGAGCTTAACGATGTCATCACGTGCCCCTACCTGAGCGCACTACGTAGAATGCTTGGCAGAATTCTTCGGAAAATACTAGAAATACCTCAAGTGTTCCTCGACGATCTCCTCTAACGGTAGCACACCCTTGGTGGAATTAGGTGTCCGGTTCCATATACGAAGAACTTCAAAACCTTCAATGCGATTCAGCTCGTCCACCAAAAATTCACCTAAAATAACCCTAGGTGGTGACATGACCCATATGTATTGCATGGTCTCCCAGAGATCTTCCATGAGACCCACTTAGGAGCTTCACTTTCACAATCAAATGCCATACTCACCTAGATGACCATATCCTATGATGCCGACTCGTTTCGGTTGCATTAGAAGGGCTAGTTGACAAGTTGATCTAAAAACCAGAAGCAGTACGAAAGTTTCACGTTGAAGAGAATTTTCCGCACAGAATGGAGGCGTGTCGGTTAGGAAGTCCACGTTGCGACGTCGCGCAGGAATTTGGCCGCAAGCAAGATGGACAGTCGTCGCCATGGCATGTTGCACGTCAGGTATGCGTCAATTCATGCGAAAGCGCTTTCTTTGGGTCGTCGCAGGGCGGACCTCCTGTCGACACCCAGGTTGCAGCGTAAATCTCGTGGATCTGCCCTTTCTAGGAACGAGAGAACACGCCTGTAGCCCTTCACCCTTTCGAGAAAAAAACCGCTGGGCAGCGTTCACGACGGCAGCGCTTCAGCCCGCCTTTGACTCGATCGATGCAGTGGGAAGCATGCGCATCGATCGCCTTTGCGCGACCAAAGCGCTTCCGCCGCGAAGTCTGAACGCTGCCCTTCACACAACAGAGACAGAGCTTCAGAAATTACATAGTCAGAGCGGTACACTCTAAATGACGGGTTAGAAATAAAACGAAAAGCAGCTTGAACGAGTTAGTAAATATTTTCTGGATTTCGCCATGCACTTCAGTTTCCCTGCGAAATTCGGAGCCACAAAGGGGCTGACCTATTTACTCAAATAGTTAAGTTAGAATAAACACGTTTTCAAATAGAGGTGC